CATGCTTCTTACACTAGACAGAACCAGCTTGTTAAGTTCGGTTGAACAACTTACAAAGGAGAATGGCAGATTGATAGGAAATTTACTGCTCAGTCAGCTTTGGTTCCAAATCCCATGCCGAGTCATCATGCCTCACATTTTCAAAACTCCTTCCGTTTAACTATTTTTGGTGCTTGAAGTATGTGGCTCACACAGGCCTAGACTTTGAGGGTGGGAAACAGGAAAAAGCATTCTTTCTCTCTCTCTCTCTATTGCCTATTAGGGTTTCCACAATAAAACAGGACCTTCTCTTATTCCCCATCCCTTCTCTCTGTTCTCTTCCCCCCAACACCCCTTTTAGTTATAGATTTCTCATTTCTGATGTTCAGCCGTTTGGTACATGGCTCAGTTCTCAAGTTCACATGCTCAAATAAAGACGTGTGCTTCTCAGAACAGCTTGCTCAACTGCTCTGAGAAGCGCCTTTGACCCTGTTCCTGCCTGGGCCGCCTGGCACCACCGCTCTTCCATGCTCTCTTGCCGGCCGTTCATCATACTGGAGTTGCCATTGCCGCAAACTACAGAGCATGACAACAGTCTTACATTTATATGTATATAGGAAGATATGTGTTTGTGTGTACATATAGACACACACACATATCTGCAAGCATACACAGGGATACAGAAAAAAATGACAAGGGATACATTCTCTCTTCTACATTATTTTTATTTATTTCATTGCCCACTCTTTACCTTAAGGTCCCAGGGCATTGCAGGGAATTGGACTAGATGACCCTCCAAGTCCCTTCCAGTTCTACAACTCCATGAATTTAAAACACAACATTAAAAAAGTTTAAAAGAAATTGAAGTCACAAGAAATATATATATCTCAAGTGTCCAAGGCTTAAAGAGGTGCACCTTCAAGCATTCACAGAAAACTGTATAGTGAAGGTGCCAGATGAAGCTGTGTGTGGAGGGAATTCCGCAACTGGGGAGCTGCCACAGATAATGCTTTCTCCTGGGCCAGTACCACCCAGAACTTCTCAGGTTGGTGGAACTACCAACTGTTAAAGCTGTCCTCTTTCGCATTTAGCCCTCTAATTCAAAAGCTCTCTCTCGCTTTGCAGTTGGTTGGTTGGTTGTAAGCAAGGTGGCAGGAATCTGAGGGTTGGTTGAGGGCAGACAGAGCTTGGCGGGGCAATGCCCCAGTTGTCCTAATGAACCAGCCTCTACTGCCTAAATCCTCTTCCATTTCAGAGCCAGTGTGGTGTAGTGGTTAAGAGCGGTAGATTCATAATCTGGGGAACTGGGTTCACGTCTCCACTCCTCCACATGCATCTGCTGGGTGACCTTGGGCTAGTCACACTTCTCTGAAGTCTCTCAGCCCCACTCACCTCACAGAGTGTTTGTTGTGGGGGAGGAAGGGAAAGGAGAATGTTAGCCGCTTTGAGACGGGATATCAAAGCGGGATATCAAATCCAAACTCTTCTTCTTCTCTTCAAAGCATTGATTCCATTTCTTTCCAACAGAATAGCTAACCTCGGGTCCACCTTCATGCTTGCCCTAGCAATAAGAAACTTCCTTCTTCTTTCTGCCTTTCCCCTTTGTTCATGAAAAGGCGGCAAAAACACTTTTTTAAAAGCTAAGGCTGCAGTGTGCCGCATCTTTTGTTTTAAAGAGAAATCCCCAATTACAGTACTTCCCCAAAATGGGTTATTTAAACACAGCCCCTATGTGGAGTTAATTTTCTCCTATGTTGCCTATAAGGCAGTTCCTGTGCACTTCGAGTCAGCGCCGTTTTCTAGGTAAGTGTTTCCAGAATAAGTGCTGAAAGATTTTAGCTCTTTTATCGCCTACTGTCACTTGGCTCCCATTCAAAAGTACTGCTGTTGAGTGAGGACATCCAAGGGTGGGGAGGGTGCGATGTGTGTAGCAAGCAGCCAGTATGTGGTTGGGTGGGCCAAGATAACTTGGGGATAGCTCAGCTGGTAGAGCATGAAACTCTTAAGCTCAGGGTTGTGAGTTCAAGCCCCACGTTGGGCAAAATATTCCTGCATTGCAAAATGATCTTGGTGATCTCTTCCAACTCTACAATTCTATGATTCTATTATTCTAAGTGGCGGCTACGAGCAGCAGCACCTCTGCTGTTATTGTTTTCTTAATGCCAAGCAAGGGGTCCCATGGCAGCAAGGATGGGTGGAAGCTGGGCATATGCTCCAGTGCACCCTACAGGGCTGTGTGGACACCAGCAGCTGCCCGCATATAACTGATGCCCAGGATGATGAACGGCAACTCAAGACCCTCCAAGTGTCCCTATTTTCTTGGGACGTTCCTCATTTAGAGAAGCTGTCCTGATTTCTGATTTGATCCCAGAATGTCCCACTTTTCCTTAAAGGTAAAGGAACCCCTGACCATTAGGTCCAGTCGTGACTGACTCTGGGGTTGCGGCGCTCATCTCGCTTTATTGGCTGAGGGAGCCGGCGTACAGCTTCCGGGTCATGTGGCCAGCATGACTAAGCCGCTTCTGGAGAACCAGAGCAGCGCACGGAAATGCCGTTTACCTTCCCGCGTCCCTCCACTTTTCCTTAGGATATCCCTATTTTCATTGGAGAAATGTTGGAGGGTATGGAGTTATCCAACCCCCAAGCTATCTGAAGGCAATCCTGTATAAGGAAGAGTTTTTTTGTTAATGTTAAATGTTTTATTATGTTTTTATATATGTTGGAAGCCTCCCAGAGTGGCTGGGGCAACCCAGTAAGATGTGTGGGGTATAAATAGCAAAATTATCATTATGGAATGGGACGTCCCTATTTTCATCAGATTAATATTGAAGGGTATGCAACTCTTCTTCTGAACCAGCAGCTCTCTGAAAAAGTAATGCCTTTCTAAAGCCAGTGACTTCAGCTGATTGCAATGTGACCAGGTGTGAAGTGGGACAGGGGCTCCTGTACCCTAAAGGTTTGCTTTTAACCAACAGTCACCTTTAACAACAGCTTGATCTGCGGATATTAGCTACAAGCCTTACAAAGCTTCACTTGCTCATTCCTGTTCATAAAATCACTAATAAAGGCACAGGAGGAGGCTGGCACATTTCTTTTACCTTTTTGATTGACAGTCAGCGAGAAAAGAATTTTGACAAATGATCAGCTTGTTGTCCAGTAAGAAGAACAACAGTTTTTGGCAAATTCTCCACCCCATGCACTGATCAGAAGCCAAGGCTTCCTTTGTATCTCGTCCAGGGCAGTCTCTGTGACACAGCTGGATGTGTCACAACCTGTTTTTAAATACCCCAGTGTTTTCATTTTTTTACTGTGTGTGGCAAATTGCAGAGTCACAATAATTGTGGCTAGTGAAATCTAAATTCACCAGTAATTTTAAACTTCCTTCCTTCCTTCCTTCCTTCCTTTGTTTTTGTCTTTCCATAGTCTTTTGGGTGTGATTATGTACACTCCAGTAAAACATCATTATTTGTTTTATTTTAAAAAATGTATATTCCTCCCATCAGTAGAGATGAGCAAATATGTGAATTTTGGTTTCTCTCAGTTTCTTATTTTTCCACTCTTAAATTCAGTTCGCCACATTTCTACAACAGCTTTTTAAAAAAACCAATTAAGTCTTCATGAAAATTTGTAAGCTTTTTTTGTGTGTATTTCTCCTCGTAAACACATTTGTATATGCATTTTTGCCTAATATTTACATTTTTGCAAAATAGTTTTATCTAATATAATTCAGGAAATCCATAAAGCATTTACATAGTTCACTGATATCATACTTGCAATGAAGTAGGATTAGTTTTTCAATAAAGAATAAAACTCTCCTTTTGAGTTTATATCACTTTAACAGTCATGGTTCCCCCCAAAGAATCCTGGGAACTGTAGCATGTTAAGAGTACTGGAAATTGTTAGGAGACACTTAGCACTCTCACAGAACTACTATTCCCGGGGCTTTCTGGGAAGAGGAACTAAAAAGCAGTTTAAGTCTGTGCTGTAAATAAATGGGGGAAAGTGCATAAGTAAATAAACTAAATTGGTAATAGGGGTGGAATCTGCCATCAATTATGGAAGAGAAATTATACCTCAATGTCATTTTGAATTTTGAACAGTAACTCCAGCTCTAAATAAAGCTGTTTTGCTTTCACACAGGCTTGAAGATCTGATATTTGCTTTTTTTAAAAAGAAATGGTAAGTTTGCAAGCCATTGGTTCCTTTATTTGAGAAAAGCTTTCCAATTTTTCCAAGGAATTCTTTATGAAGTCACTTTAACTGCTGTCAATGCTTAGTCATTCTTCAGCTGGAGATCTGCCAGATGCAGAACAGTGTACGCTTACGAAAATTACCAAAATGTGGTGAAGATATAAACTTTGTCCGCCATTCTGTAGTTTAATAGGTAGTTGGCTGGCTTCATGATTTTTCTCTCATTGTGATTTTTGCCAGCGCCTGCTCTTGTGATTCACTGCCCCCTGAAGGAGGCGGGGAGAGCTGAGCTGGCAGAGTTAAACGGGGGATGCAGGAATCAAGAGATGCATTGGCTGGCTTCATGGTTTTCCCCACATTGTGAGTTTTGCATAGCACACATAGACTCATCATGATTCGCGATATATTACCAGGTCAAAAATTATGAAAGCATTGTCACGATATGGACTTCAACCCGGTTTTGTATGATATATCAATATGCCGCCCAGCCCTAATCAAATCTTCTCTCGGAAACTCATCACAGTGAATGCAATGGTTGCATGTCTCTAGATAGCTGTGCCTGGTGAACTGCAAAGTATCCTGCCAATTTCTCTCCTAATTTGGGCAGCAGCCTTTTAGTCATTCTGTAAAATGCCCCCCCCCCCCCCAATTTCAGAGCAAGTCTGGCAACTCCCAAATAGATATTTTAGAAATATATATATAATGAAGTGGTGTATACAAAACTGCATCTTGCACATTTTCAGTTATATGTTTGTCACAGAGCTTTACAGACCAAGACTTGCTAGGACAAGCCCTTGAAGATGCCTTGGAGGTGTTGCAGCAACATTCCTATGGCGACTGTAATTATGCGCCAGGTAAAAAAGCAATACTAGTTATATTCCAGCTTTGTTTTATTTTATTTGTTACATCTTTATCCTGCTGTTCTTCCCAAATGAGCCCAGAGTCCCAGGTTCTGATTATGTGTAAGTTCCAATTATTTCCGAATGTCAGAATATACATGAAAAAGATGCACTGTCTGTTTCCCCACCTGTCCCCCAAATCTGATGTGTTCAGCATAAAAAACTTATGGTAAATTACATTATGGACAAAGAATCCAGCAAACAATTGCTGGAGTATAATGTGTTTTAAATCTAATTATTTGTAGTTTCATTTCCACACACATCCTGGCCGTTCCTTGAAAGACCTCAGGATGGCATACTTATTCCTTCCCATTTTAATCTGCACAACAGCTCTGTGAGGTTTGTTTGGCTGGGGGATTATGGTTGGTGCAGCACCATCTTCTATTCAGCTTTGTGGCTGAGTGAAAATCTGAACCTAGGCCTTCCTAGTCCAATACAGTAAGGCATACCCATCAACTGCCCTGGAAAAACTGTGACATCCCATTTTCCCCCATGAGAGTATGGTGGCCATTTTGGGTGCCTCGTTCTTGCGATTTTGGGCCAAGATCTTAACCCAGAAAAAAAAGATCAGGCACTTTGCACCCCAAAAATGTTATTTCTGGGTCCATGATCTTGCATGGGTCATGCAACTTGTATGGGGTATTGGACTTGGAAAATGGTGTCCTGGATTTGGGCTGCGTTGTGTAAAATGAGACACATATCAGAGTGAGCTCTTCAGTAGAGTAGAGTTTTGGACAGCCCTATTCAGGCATTATCCTCCATGTGGAGATTATTTTCTTTTATACTCTTAGTTTTAAACTGTTTGTATTCTCTGCTTAGCATTTTATTGCTTATACTTGTAATTTAGCCTTTAACTGTAATCCTCCCAGCATATTGCTATTGGGCAGCAAATAAATATTGTAAATGAATGAGCGTTTACACTTATTCTTTACCTCTCGCTGACATATTCTGTTTATTTCCCTCAAGAAGACTTTAAAAACTGTCTGACTTACCATCACCATTCTCTCCAAGCAAATCCAAGTTACCTATCAGATAAACCAATATATAGCTGGAGTGAAACACCGACTTTACTAGTAAGTAAAACTCAGTATTTAAGTGCAGGGGTGGTGGCAGAGAAATGAAAAATGCATTCTATTCTATTGCATTCTTGACATCAGAGGTGGGAAGCCTGTTTCAGCCCAAGGGCCATATTTCCCTTCTGGGGGCCACATGCTTATAGCGAGTGGGGCCAGAGGTAACAAGCAATGCCTATGCCCCACCTTTGGTCAGTAGGCTATATTCCAGTCACACAAAATCAAAAGTTTCTACACGTACACAATCCACATCTCTCTATCCAGGCAAGCAAGAGTTCAAGGATGCTTTCCAGTTGAGCAAAAGCAGGAGGTTAGTGCAGAACAGGACCACTGATGTGTGGTGTTATGTATTGAAGTTCTCACCCTGGCCACCAGGGGGTATTGTGTATATAGTTTTCACTCAGGTCCACGTCAGTTAATTTAGGCGGGAAACCCTGGGCTGTTGTTGTTACAGTGTTGACAGCTGGCTGCCTATAAAAGCAGGCTGGCTGAGCTGTGTTCAGTTCAGTTCAGTTCAGTTCCAGCTTACTTATAAAGAACTACAGTGGTACCTCGGGTTAAGTACTTAATTCATTCCGGAGGTCCGTTCTTAACCTGAAACTGTTCTTAACCTGAAGCACCACTTTAGCTAATGGGGCCTCCTGCTGCCGCCGCGCCACTGGAGCACGATTTCTGTTCTCATCCTGAAGCAAAGTTCTTAACCCGAGGCACCATTTCTGGGTTAGCAGAGTCTGTAACCTGAAGCGTATGTAACCCAAGGTACCACTGTACTTGGAGAAATCTCTGTGTCATCTGCTTTGTCAACTCACTACTTAATAGGTGGGACCCAGGGAGGATGTGTGGCTTTGAGAGAGTCTCAAGTCTCATCCCTGACTAGTTTCCCCTGCCCTGCTCCTACCACCTTCACTTTAGCATAAAACTCTGAGGTGGGGAAGTCTTTGCATGTAGACCTCTACGTGTGTAGACTTCCCTAGAGCCTGGGGCCCTGCATGATCAGGGTTTCAGAGCTTTGGGAAAGCTGCATGCATAGAAGTCTACGTGTGAAGTCCTCCTCACCTCAGAGTCACAGCATGGGCATAGTCAGGATTTTTGTTAGGGGGCAGACCTTTGGCTGGGGTGGGGGGTAGAACCTCAGTTTGCTATGTATTTTTATTTTTATTGATTTAGGGGGAGTAGCTGCCCTTCCCTGCCCCCCCAGCTACTCCCATGACAGATAGCCACTGTGGTATTAGCCAAAGCCCTTCATCATCAGAGGCAAGGTCAAAAGCATAGCTTCACAGACCTTTGCTCTTTCACTTGAAGAAAGCTTGGGTCACTGTGGAATTCTAGAGAGCAGATAAATAACTTCACTCCGTTTCATGTCTCCTCACACTATTATTGTCCATTTCTTTAAGAATACAGAGGCAGATTTTTATCTGGGTGCAGCTGAGTACCATACTCTGCAGACCATTCCAGAAAATCCAGAGATGTACGTCATACCTTTGCAGCAAAAAGGCAGGAAAGGTTTGTGAACATTCTGGCAATTACACGTGTGCATTCTGGATCAGGGTTCATCAACTTTTGGAGCGAGTGGCCACATCTGGCATTTGGACTAAACACCATGGGCACTGGGGGACGCGGGTGGCGCTGTGGGTAAAACCTCAGCGCCTAGGACTTGCCGATCGTATGGTAGGCGGTTCGAATCCCCGCGGCGGGGTGCGCTCCCGTTGCTCGGTCCCAGCGCCTGCCAACCTAGCAGTTTGAAAGCACCCTCGGGTGCAAGTAGATAAATAGGAACCGCTTACTAGCGGGAAGGTAAACGGCGTTTCCGTGTGCAGCTCTGGCTCACCAGAGTAGCTTGTCACGCTGGCCACGTGACCCGGAAGTGTCTGTGGACAGCGCTGGCTCCCGGCCTCTAGAGTGAGATGAGCGCACAACCCTAGAGTCTGTCAAGACTGGCCCGTACGGGCAGGGGTACCTTTACCTTTTTACCATGGGCACCAGTCACAAAATGGCAGCTGTGGGAGCATGACATAACACAAAATGGCTGCCATGGGGATGTGGCATAACATAAAATGGTTGCCGAAGAGGCGTGGCATTATGTCTGCCACATTTAAATGGGTATCTAAAATAGCAGAAAGAGAGGTTCCCAAAATTATATGGGCATGCCCCATCAATTTTATGGGCGGTGGAAGGCACTTATATCAGCTACCGCTGTGCTCACTCACACAGAGAAGCTATTTTCACCTCTCCTCTGTTCAGAATGGAAAGGAAAGGTAGGTGTCAAATCCTGACATCCAATGAGATCTGGGGTCAGGGGTATTTTACAATTTGGCCATTGTGAGGAGAATTTAGACCACTCAATGGACCACTGTGAACAAGTCGTTCTGCACTTCGCTGACAAAATCACTTGGATCCATTCTAACTTGGATGCTATAGTTGATACAGATCTGGCGGATGTAACTGGCCTCTGTTTGTCCAGTGTTAATGGATACTTTTCAATTTGTACAGCCCAAGAATGCTAGATCCTTGTCCTTCCTGGCTCATCAAAAGGGCCAGTGGGGGATGGGCTAAGTGGATGACGGGAGCGGTCAGTGCCTTCTTCCAGCAAGGCATGGTTCCAGCATGCCTGAAGGAGGCAGTTATAAGACCTCTATTGAAAAAGCCTCCCTTGAATCCCACCATGTTGGATAATTATCAGCCAGTCTCCAATATCCCATTTTGGGGCAAGGTATTGGACCTGTTTAATTATTATTATTTTTTTAAACTTCCTGATAGGCAGGAAGAAGCTACGCCTGTTTGAATATCTTCACGAATCTCTCCATAATCCAGACCTGGCAAACTGCATCCAGTGGTTAGATAAGCCCAATGGCGTCTTCCAGTTTATTTCCAAACACAAGGAGAAATTGGCAGAACTGTGGGGGGAACGCAAGGGAAACCGGAAGATCATGACCTACCAGAAAATGGCTAGAGCTCTGAGGAATTACGGAAGAACAGGAGAAATAATCAAAATCCGAAGGAAACTGACCTATCAGTTTGGTGCCATAGCTTTGCAAAGGCTTTCTCTGGCTTGCTTTCCTGGGAAAGAGGGAGATTTTGATCTCTATCACCAAGGTGATCAAAAGTGCCAGTATGCAGACAGCTGGCTTTCTTATCATTATTACATGTATAACAAGGATCATGAACTACAGCAGCTTTATAGCAATACAAATCCATTCTGTTATGAGTCTTAAAGAAACTTTGAAGGACAGCAACTCTTCTCCAGTATATATTCTCCCAGCCCCTTGAGATATCACATTATGCATCTGCACGTTTTTTCTTTTCTTTTTTATGCTTTCTAAACTATTAACTCACTAGAAACCTGAAAACATATGCAAGCTTTCAGATTCATGTAAACCATTCTTCAGTCTTAGCTGGGATGGTCGTAGGAGATGTTTAAGGCTATACTCCACATGTGCCTGGGAGTAAGTCCCACAGAAACTTAGCAAGGCTTGCTTCTACACAGACATATACACAATTGTTCTGCAAAGCTCCTAAAAGAAGGAGAAAGGGGAGATCAATAACACAGGGAACAGACTATTGTAAGAACATCTAAATTATAACAATATTGATTTAGAGGATCTATTTATTTCAACAGATCTTTCTTCCAATTAACTGCACCCTCTTAAGCATGTTTACTCAGAAGTAAAGTCCACTGAACTGTATCCCCAGTAAGTATGTACAGGTCTGTTGCCTTAATGGTAGAGTTTAATGGTATATTATAATCACAAACCCAAATATTAAGATCTCTGAGCATCCTAGTGCATATAACACATCAAGAATTACTGTGGCTTGTGTGTCTACAATGGTTTATGCATTTAATTTGCTTCTTACTGTATGTATTTCATTAAATATCACTTTATCTAACAGGCATTATTATATGGGAGCTTTTTGTTATTAATATTCAGCAACAGCCAGCATGTACTAAAATCCTCATAGGCACAAGTGGGTCATTAACTATTACAGTTCAAAAATCTTCAGAAATGTTGCTTGCATGGAAGTAATAATAATTAGCCCCTCCAAATAATTATGGTTTATTTTATACATATTTACATCTCAAGCCTTCAATACAGAAACGTCCTAAAATACTCTCCTGTCCCCCTTTTGCACTTGAAATAAATAGATCCAAGGGCAGGCCTTTGATCCTTGCTGCAAATCCTTCCTCCCCTACTGAAATCCCTTTGCCCTGCTCCTGCAGAAACCTAAGACAGCGCCTCTGATCTAAAGGCTTGTTTAAATATTTTAGTGGTAGTCTAAACTCAGTCATCACAAGTTATGATCATTTAGAGGGACTTGAGGCTAGCAAATGATGATTGGCACCAAATTAGAAAGAGGATTTGCAAGTAAAGTAATATCACACTGTATATGGGCGAAATTACTGTGTGTTGCTATCAGATGACTCCCACAGTAACTTGTGAGAGATGTAGCAACCAGATTCATAGCATAATACAGTCTGTCTCAAGAGGTTTAGGTTTTTTAAAGTCTCTAGTATTATGCCACATGAGAAGCTAGCAAGCACAGTAATTAGAGAACAGGCAGTTGAACTCACACCAAGCTTTCCTCAAGTTTGTTCTTCTTAGTGTACCCTTGAAACCCATTTAAAGATGTATCTAACTTCCCATATCAGCGATCACTGAATTTAAACATAAGCAAGCATTATGAAAGATTTCCCCACTCTCCACTAAATCAACTGAAATCTATAATAGGTATCCTATACCTCTGCTTTGATTGCAGTACTGCAACAAAAGTTTTCACACATAAGGTGTAAATCAACTGTGCACTTCTTTTGTGCAATATACACCATTAAGCTGCTCAATGTACATTTCCCATTTATTTATTGTATGATTATTCCACCCTTGCTCAAAGGTTCTTAGGGGTTCTTCTTTTTCTGTTGCCCTCACCACAACCTTGTAGAGTAGATTAGCATGCACAACGATGATTGGCCCAAGGTTACCCACTGAGCTTCATGGCTGTGTCGGCATTTGAACCTGGGTGCTTCTTGGACTTGCTGATGGGAAGGTTGGCAGTTCGAATCCCCTTGACAGAGTGAGCTCCCATTGCTCTGTCCCAGCTCCTGCCAACCTAGCAGTTCAAAAGCATACCAGTGCAAACAAATAGGTACTGCTGTGGCAGGAAGGTAAACAGCGTTTCCATGCGCTCTGGTTTCCGTCACGGTGTTCTGTTGCGCCAGAAGCGGTTTAGTCATGTTGGCCACATGACCCAGAAAGTTGTCTGTGGACAAACGCCAGCTCCCTTGGCCTGAAAGCGAGATGAGCGCAGCAACACCATAGTTGCCTTTGACTGGACTTAACTGTCCAGGTGCATGGGTAGGCACACTAAGGCCCGGGGGCTGGATCCGGCCCAATAGCCTTCTAAATCTGGCCTGCAGACGGTCCGGGAATCAGCTTGTTTTACATGAGTAGAATGTGTCCTTTTATATAAAATGCATCTCTGGGTTATTTGTGGGGCATAGGAATTCTTGCTCCCCCCAAAAAAAATATAGTCCAGCCCCCCACAAGCTCTGAGGGACAGTGGACCAGCCCGCTGCTGAAAAGGTTTGCTGACCCCTGGTCCAGGGATCCTTTACCCCCCTTTTTTAAAACCCCCTGGGCCAAGCCCAACCCTCTAACCAACACGAGAGCAGACAAGCCCTTGTTTGCATTGCAAAACTAGCAAGTCAGAAAAATTGCACTTTAAACTCTCCGTATAACCACTCCCACCTCCTTAAACAGTCATTTACAGCAACTAAGAGGAGTTTTGGGCATAAGAGGTCAGTGACAGGAGCATGCAGCTGGTGGTGCTTCTTTGTAACATGCAAAGGGGGAACCTTGCTTCAGGAAGGATCTGCATCCATATCTGAACCTTGCACATATCCTCATAGGAGTTTCCCTTTTGACGATGGAAAGAAATGCTGCCGGATAGAAGTCTGGGGAGGAGGAAAGAGGCATAGCTCTGTGATAGAGCACCACCTTCCCTGCAGAAGGCCTCAGGTTCAATCCTGGAATCTCCTGGTAGGGCTGGGAATAACCCCTACATGAACCCTTAAGAGACGCTTCCTCTCAGTATAGACCAAGTATTGTACACACAATACTTTCAACACACATTCGAGTCACATTTCCCCTCTCATTTCTGGACCCTGTAGATTGTAAGTAAGGAGGCTGGTGGGCTTTGAAGAATTCGGTTGGTGGGAGAGTGACTCATTTGCCTTAATGGACATCACAGGCCATTGCAAGAACATGGTGCTGGCCTAGATGAGCCTTTGGCCTGATCCAGTGGGGCTTTTCTTATGTTACTTCTTAGGCAAGAAGAGGGATATCAGCCTTGTCAGCAGGAGCCCTTGTGCCGGACAGGTATGCTTTGATAGGAACAGGTTGTGTGTATGCTGGAATAGCAATGATCATAGAATCATAGAATTACAGAGTTGGAAGGGACTCTGAGGATTATCTAGTTTAACCCCCTGCAATTCTGGAATCTCAACATGTGGTCCTCCATCCAGTTTGAAACCATGCTGGACCCTGCTTAGCTTTGCAAATGTGCTAGGCATTTTATTGCTGCACCATTTGAAAAGAGACTGGATGGTGATGGTCGCTACAGTGCAGTTCCTACCATGGATGTGAGGATACTACTTGTGTGGCTTTTGCTCCAGCATCTGGACCTTTAGGGCTGATGGTATATGTCAGGGAACTGCCATCGGACGGAAGGGAGGTGAAAGGGCTCACACAGGTTGGGAGAGACGCAGCAGCTGAAGAGGGAACCAACAGGGAGGTGAAAGGGCTCACACAGGTTGGGAGAGACGCAGCAGCTGAAGAGGGAACCAGCAGGGGAGAGGAGCTGAGCTGGAGGGATGGCTCAGAGACACTTCCAGCGAAAACAGTGGGGAAGTTTCAGGACCTCCTGTAAGAACACCCACTCCTCGCCGGAAACTGTCACGCAGAGATTCCAGAAGACGTGTTTCCGTTAAGGAGCTTTTATGTTGGAAGCGATTACGAAAGCAACCACTGTCGGAATCTGCTAGTGACTAGAGTAGCCATGTCTGAGGGGCTCCGTCACAGACAGAGGTTTGTGGACTTGAACAAACTCTGAGGGGATACGATTTTACGCACAAGCAGCTCATCATCCCATCACAGCATTCCGACAGTCTTTGAAAGCAGCTTGTGCAGGAGAAGGCATCATGAGCAACCCAGCCGGAACCGGAGAAGCAGGAGCTGGAGCGGGTCCAAGCCTGGAAGAAAGGTACCAGATGTTGGAGGTCCAGCTAGCGATGCAGACGGCGAGGCTTGAGGAGAGGAGGGCTCAGGATGCAGACAAAAGGGGAAAGCCACCCAGTTTGCCAGAAAGGTACCAGGATTGGTGCAGAAGTTTGGGGGGGAGCCCAAAAACTATCATGGTTTTCGGACAGAAATGCAATATGCCCTCAATCTGCAGTTTGATGAATTCCCTGACGAGGAATCACGAGTGGCTTTCGTGATTGAGCATCTTGAAAAGGGGGCGAGAGACTGGGTTAGACCCCTGATGGCAGCTAATAGTGACGTCTTAAAGGACACGATGAAGTTCTTTCGCGCCATGGATCTGATGTTTTCCAGCGATATTGAAAAGGGAGTGGTGCGCAGACAGTTAATGGGTTGCAAACAGGGGAGCCGATCTGTCCGTGAGTACTGGACTGAGTTCACCATGCTTGTTCACAGATTGGGGTGGGACTTATCGGCGGAACCCATTCAGATGCTCTTTGAAGAAGGGCTTTCTTCGGCTGTGAAAGACGAACTTTCCCGGGCGCCCAGGGCGGAGTCTATGGACCAGCTGACCAAATCAGCGCTGGCCATAGGAGCGCGCCAGGAGGCGAGAGCATTGGAGAGGCGGGAAGGGAAAGGGGAACGTTGGAAGGAGTTCCGCATTCCAGACATTCCAGAGCCAACTTTCCCACCGGCAGAGCCGATGGAAATCGGAACAGCGCGCGCGCGCAGTTTCAAAGCCCAGTGAGGGGGCAAAGAAGGAGGGAAAAGGCGCCCGGAAATGCTATCTCTGCCAACAGCCAGGTCACTTTGCCAGAGTCTGCCCCCAGAGGAAAGAATGGCAAGGGATGGTAGGAGCTGTGGATGGAAGAGAGGAAAATATACCGGAGCAAGTAAAAGCCAACGCCTGGCTGCCACTGTCAGGGCACAGCAGCCAGGCCAAAGAGCAGTGAGAGTGCCCACGC